TTGTGTGCATCTATGAGAACACTTACCACTCAGTACTAAGTTTTGTTTCCTCAGTCTTTCTTTCCTATCACCACCTGCCTTAGTCCATTTTGTGCTGCTGTAACAGAGTTCCTGAGACTGGACAATTTATAAAGGACAGAAGTCTATTCGTTATAGTTCTGGAAACTGGGAAGTCCAAGATTGAGGCCTGGCATCTAGTGAAGGTCTTTGTGTTGCATCACCCTATGGCAGAAGGGCAAAGACAAGACAAGATGGAGAGAGAGTGTGTGTGAGAAAGCACACCATGGGCCACACTTATCTTTTTCATAAGAAGCCCACTCTGTCAACATGGGATTAGGCCGTTCGTAAGGACAGGACCCTCATGTCCTTTTCACCTCTTATTAGGCCTTGTGGTTCAGCATTGTTGCCTTAGGGATTTAGTTTTGAACACTTGCCTTTTGGAGGAACATTCACACCATAGTACATCTTTCTCTCCCCTCCTTTGAGCAATTTACTGAGCATCTTTTATGTACCAGACTGTGTGGACGTAGGGTTAATGAACCAGCTGCCACTGCCCTGATGGAGCTACTGTTAGTATGGAGAATACAGACTAGAAACAAATAAAAGTGTTAAACAGGTGGCAATAAATGCCGTGAATGAAATTAAGGCAGGAAAGGGAGATTGAGAGGGATAAGGAACAATTTTGGATTATTAGATTACGTAGTCAGGGAAGGCCTGGCTGATGAAGTGAACATTGAACAGAGAGTTAAAAGAAGTGAAGAACACAAGTCATGAATAACTGGAAGAAGAAAATTCCAAGGAGAAGGAATAGCAGGTGCATGGCTTTGAGATGGGAATATGCTTGACCAGTGTCTGGAATAGCTAGGAGGCTAAGGTGAATGGAAAGAATGAAAATCAGTTAGGAAAGGTAGCCAAAGGATCCCCCAGAGCTTGTAGGAATTGAGATTTTATACTGAGGGTGCCGGGAAGCTTTTGGAAGGTTGAGAGGAGAGAAGAAACATTGACTAGATTTATGTTTAAAATTCCTCTGGCTATAGTATGGAGACTAGACTGTGGAGGCAAGAACAGAAAGCCAAAGCAGTAATCTACATAGGAAGTGTTATGTGGCTCAGACTAGTGATGGACAAGGAGAGAGGTAGGCAGATCACAGGTGGATAACTTCTCAGGAGCAGGGACAGCTGTGTGTCAGCCATCACCCTACAGCAAGCCACAGGGCCTGATACTTAGGAGATAGCTTGGGAGTGAATGAATAAAACAAATTCTCATCTTTTTCCTATATACTGTGCTGCCTTTGAGAGATTTTGCAGAGGTCTTTGCTGTGATATAATTGTAGCATCATTGGCCATGGACTTTTTTTAAAAATTAATTTTATTGGTAAATTTAAGGAATACAATGTAATGACATTCATCATTGGAAATTTGCACCTTTACGTAATCCATCTTGGTTCTTCTTTTTTCCCCATTCCTCTGCCCTCCCTTCAACCCCTCCATCCCTGCCTATCTACAAAGACTTTGCTTCCATTTTTTCTTTCTTTTTTTTTTTTTTTTTTTTTTTTTTTTTTTTTGTAGGTACCAGGGATCGAACTTGGGACCTTGCGCTTGCGAGGCAGATACTGGAACCACTGAGCTAAATCCCCGGCCTCCATTTTTTCTTTTTCTCATATGAATTCCTTTCCCTTCTTTCTTTTTCCCTACCCTTCCCACTTCCCCTTCCCTTTTGCCCCTTTTCTTCCTATTTCACCTTATCTATTACACCTTTTAGTCCTTATTTACACTTTGAGTTTCTCACACTAGAGAAACTCTTTGGTATTTACACATGTATGTCCTGTTTATTTTACTTAAGAGTATGGCCTTGTGGCCATGGACTTCTTAAAATGGGCCTGGCTGCTTCTATTGTTTCTAAGTTCAGCCCAAATCAGTTACTATTTAGCAGTCAAGGTTAAAATTATCCTAGAGAGAACAATGGTTTAGGTAACCAAATAGAAAAGCACCCACCTCACAGATCCAGGTTATAAAATAGTAAGCCCTTATACTTTAAATGTTATTTTAATTTTATTGCATGTGTATGCATATTCACAGCCACTCTATGGAGAAGTTATTGTTCATTTCTCATTTTATACATTGAGATTTAGAAGTTAAGTGATTTTGTTTACAATCACATAGCCAGCAAATAGTGTATTTCATTTCCAGATTCTTTACTGTATTGTTCTTATTGTATTTCCCAATTTATTGAATACGTATCATACACTGTGATAGATATGTGGAGATCTGACATAAACAAGATCCCAATGCTGACCTTGGAGGAGGAACCATGAGAGAAAATCAAAGCTTTCAATAAATATGATAAATGATGTAACAAAATTAAACAGTATATTTTGGTTATGTATTTATTTATTAAAATATAATAAAACATGAATTGAGTATTCTTATCTAAAATTCTTGACTGGAAATTATTTACATTTTATATTTTTTCAGATTTTGGAATATTTGCATATAAGTAATGACTTATCCATGGTTTAGGGCCCAAGTCAAAAGATGGAATGCATTTATGTTTCTTATCTATCTTACATACATAGTTTTAAGGTAATTTTACACAATATTTTCAGTGTTCCTGCATTTTAACATCAAACCATCACATAAGGTCAAGTATGGAATTTTCTACTTGTGGTGTCATGTTAGTACTCAAAATATTTGAATTTTGGGGATTTCAGATTTCATACTTTTGGATTAGCATCCAAACCTGTATATACTTGCTATGTTCAACATGTAAATACTTCTCCTGTTATTATAACAGAGGCCTGAGTGTGCATTCCATGTTTTTCTATTTTGGAAAATAGACTTGATGACAGGATAATAAATATATTGATTATTATTGATAGATATAAAAATCTATACAGTGTTTTCTGAAGTCCATTAAGTGTCTTACACAGCTTTTGAGTTCCAGCTTTTTGGATATCCTTAAGTTCAAAATGGCTGTTTCTTTTATGATAGTCTGTCATGGGACCAGGCTTAATACTGTTGTACTGCTAAAGGAATACATATAGGAAGATAGGATTTAGTCCCAACAGATGTCAAACTTTAGAATTACCCATTTTAGTCAGATCCTTACATTTAGGATGCAGAATATGATAAAGTTGGAAATAATTACATCATCACATTGAAGGAGCAAAGAGTGAAACTACTTCACATTTCAGAATTAAATTATTCTGTCTTTGGTGGTCTGCTCTTAAGTAACTTTTTCTTTTTGAAATCTGTGTTTGAACAGTTGAGAAAATGCACTTGTCAAAAGATTAACCAGCTGAGAACCATTGTCAGCATTAATTTTCCTATAATAAATGGTTCTCTGAAGCTATTCAGCAGTCTCTAATCTAGATACGAAGCATTGACCTGTGATGGATAGCACTGGATTTCTTTGTAAGCTTTGACTTAAATTGTCTGCTTAATTTCTCAAGGTCCGAGCAACAGGATCAGGAGAAAGGTGGTTATGGAGATTTAATGAAAATCTAACAAAATTAAACAAAATAATTGTAAAGCATTAATGATTAGAAATTAGTACAATGGCAGTTACTCAGTATTAATATCAGGATGATCAAATGACATAGATTAGTTCACAGAAAGCATTTTTTATAATTAGTTTTTGGTTTTTTTTTTCCAGTATTGAGGATCAAACCCTAGGCAATCTACCACTGAGCTACATCCCCAGACCTTATAATTGGGTTTTTATACATATGTCATCCATTTAAAGTATATCTGAAGATTACTATGAAGTAATGTAATTCAGCTGTATGCATCAGCATTTCAGGCATCATAACATTGGGCACTCACTTTTCCAAGATTGTTTGGCTGACATAATACCAACTTCTTTTTCTTTTAATAATTGGTTAAAAATAGTACTAACCATAAAAGAGAAAACTGCTTGATTTGGCAGTATGTTAGTAAAGCATTCACAATTTGAATGAAGCTCTTACTTGAGCTTTTAAAAAAACATATGTAAGAACTGTGTTTTATTGAATATATTAAAATTCAAAAGTAGGTCATTACTTGAAGCTATCTAATGGCCAGGGTTGATATTTAGTATAATTATGATTTCTTTATTTCTAGGTGTACTATAAAATTAATTATAAAGATAAAAGTTGTACTAATAATTGCTTTTCTGGATACTTTCCTGTTTTTGAACCAAATCTAACTTGAAAATTACAAATGAAGATTTACCTCAGTTCCAAAAATGTAAAAATATTTTTGGTTTTATTTTATAGTTAATAATATGAGAGAGGTTCCCTAACTCCTTTTAAGAGAAGCCTAGGCCAAATTTTCTGTGCTAAATTAGAAATTGTTTCTTCAGTCATTTCAAACAATGAACGTGCATTAAGCTTTTGTTAAAAGCTGCTGAAAAGAAGCCAAACCAGTGTTAATGTTTATTTCTTCTTCCTTCTTGTATCACTGGAAATGATTGGCCCAAAATGAGTAGCAGGAAGGAAATGAAAAATCAAATAATATTGGAAAGTGAACACAAGAATAATCTAAATAAAAGTTTTCTTTTCCTTTAAAAAGAAACTTACCACCTAAAATGCTTGTTTATGGGTCAAAGAGTGGGTCTCTTTCTGTGTAGATCTCATCCCTAGATAGTATTTGTAGAGGGAATAAATCAGAGGCTTCCACCCCCCTGACAGTGGTGTGTTGGTCAAGCCCTGGTGAACCATTTTGTGTACTTTGTATTACTGGGTAGATTTCTTAGAATGGTAGATGAATTAGAATAAAATTCATATATATTTATTTGTGCCACGATTGTGCCAAAATGTTTAAGATAAATTAAGAATGAGAATATGACTAGATCTGTATTTCACTATGGGGGAGATTGAAAGTATTTTATACATGCCTGGCATAAATAACTTTGGAAGCAGGATGTTTTCATTTGGTTTGGGGATTTTCTCTTGTTATTTATTTTAAAATGTTAAGAGATGTATCCTTTTGCTTCTAATTCTTTACCCCCAAATGATTCAGGTGTAGGAGCTGCTCGATCTGGGAACCTCACGTTTATGGTGGGAGGAGTCGAAGACGAATTTGATGCTGCCAAAGAGTTGCTGGGATGCATGGGCTCCAATGTGGTGTATTGTGGAGCTGTTGGGACTGGGCAGGTAACATTGTTACATTAATGACCTTGACAAATTGGCTTGTGTTCCTTTCTCTTTCCTAGCCTTACTGTTACTCCTCTTCACTCTGTTCCTTCCACCTATGGACCCTTTGCTCAGATTTTCCTAAATTAATTTAGAATTAATTACTTTTCCATCATTTGGATGGGTTTAAGCAGATGTCAGCCAGTTTTCTTATTTTAAAGAAATATCAGAAGTTCCATCATTGGGATCTTGATATATCATCCAGATGAGTACTGAGTTAATTTTTAAAACTGCTTCTATTTAAAGTGCTTATGTTAGCTAAGTGGCTATTATTCTCCATCTAACTTTGTAATTATTTGCTGATAGCTCTGTTTATAGTATAGTCAGAGGGGCCGGGGATTTAGCTCAGTGGTTCCGCCGTCTGCCTTGCAAGCGGAAGGATCCAAGTTCGATCCCTGGTACCAAAAAAAAAAAAAAAAGGAAGAAGAAGAAGCAAATAAATGCACGGAAGTACATAAGTAATCTAAAAATTATATATAGTATAGTCAGGTAGAAGTAACCTATGCACTTTAATATTTTTCTTGAAAAGCAAGTAATTTTCATTTAGAGATATTAGGTGATTGACAGTTCTGAACTCTGAAGTCAAACTAGTTGAACCTATCCCACTCCTAACACACACATTCACTTTTTAGTGCTTTTATTCTAGTCACTAGCACTGTATTTGTCTCATTCAGGACTTTGTTGTTATATTTGTTGTCTCCGTACTCTTGTGTAGGCATTCTCTAAGCTTTGTTGAGTTTTACTTCAGGGGACCTCGTTGACCATCTTATCCATTCCTCCTAGTTTACTGCTTGCCTAGGGTCTAATGAGTCTCTAGATGCCAAATTTATCACTCTGTCCAACACTCTAACCAAAACCAATTTCATCAAGATGCTGTATCATGATCATACTTCCCCATTCTGAAAGTTTGTATAGATTCCTGTTTAATGCCATGTCTGATTTTAACTCTTTGACCCTAGCTGTCATAGCTTTTAACCAGTTTTTGACACAGTCTTAACTGTCACATTTCTCACCATTCCTTAAAACACACATATGAATAATTTTCTTACTAATTCCAGGAACACCACATGCTATATTTAATCCCTCTTATACATTTACCTTTTACTCTAATCGCCTTTTCTTTTTCTTGCCTATTTACGTTCTGCCTTCTGAGAGATGTTTTCAGGTTGTATCTCCTCTGTGTTCCTGCCTTTAGTGATCTTGTTCATCTGAATTCCTTTTGTCTCTACCTTATTTTCTCTACCATGTACAGTACATCATCACTTCATTGTTTTTGTTTGTTCATTTGTTGCCTTTGAAGTAGCATATTACTCCCATTTCCCAACTGGATATAAGCCCCATCCCTTTAAGAGCAGTTGTGTCAATGGATCAGTATTGCTTATAGTACAGATCCGTAGTAGGAGCTCAGTCACCATTGCATGTTTATTACCTAGGACAAGATATCCCAGTTGCTGTGGGATAGAATGTTAAGGCTCAGCGCATGGCGTGCTCACCACATTCTTTTCCTCATTTGAGAGAATCAGCAGTTTGAATGTTATTTCTTTTCAAAAGAAGCCTATAAAACTGAGCAAAGAAAAATTTCCTGCAAGTTGTAACTTGAAAATAAAGACATTTAATATGTACTCTATTTTTAGGCAGCCAAGATCTGCAACAACATGCTGTTAGCTATTAGTATGATTGGAACTGCTGAAAGTATGAATCTTGGAATCAGGTTTGTTGAATAGTTCATTTTCATATACTAACAATTTTATTGGCTTTCTTATTTGATTTTCTGATGTTAAAAACTGATGTTCATGAGAGATGAATGACTTGATCCAGGGACATATTGAAAGTACTTCATTATTGAACTTTAATAGACTTTGCTTATTGGACAAACAATAGGGCCCTGGAGAGCATGAATACTCTTTGTCATAGCCATAAAATATATTGCACTGTGCATTTGAAGTGATATTATCGTTTTTATATGGAAACCACATTTCTTCTATTATTTTGAAATGCAAGAAACACTTTTACTGTAAAATTTAAACATTCTTTATTAGTGTCAGGACAAATATGTATGGAATATGGTTTTAATGTATAGTGAATTCAAATGTTTGGCTATCGTGTGACTAGTTTTAGGTAACTATTTATAATATAGTCCCCAAAATCTGCATATTAAAAGGGTTCTTGGTGACTCATTCTCAGGATAAACTGGATTACATCCCTAAAGCCACAATTCATATGAATAACTTTCATTTTAACTTCCCATATATGGTTTGGTTACTTTGCATCAGAATGTATCTGTAAAATAAAATGTCCTTCATACATTGCCTAAAGTGATTTAAGAATCCTGTTTTCCCTACATGTGATCATCCTTTAGCATGCTTAAGGTTAATGTCTTAATTTTAGCCTTTAATCTTTTGGGTTAGAATGCTACATATGATTAATCACCTAATTAATTTTTTTAATGTTTTATATTTCATGAATAAATATACATTTCTTACCTTAGAAAATGCTTAATGAGCAAGATGCTTTACTCAGATTTTTTTTCACATTCCCCAAAATTGCTTGCTAAATATATCACAAAGCAGAGTAGTGTTTCATATCATAGCTTTTGATAAAAGCAATAAAAAGAGCCAGAGTATTTGAGATATTTTTAAAAACATGGTAATGGATTCACATTTCCTCTTAATTACCATATCAGGATGCTGTTGTTTTATTGAACTGCCCTTGTCTCAGATGTTAAACTATCTTGACCTATTAAGTTGTCATGTTGTAATTGAGATGAAAGAGGAATTTGCTTTGCATCAGCGCTAATTGGTTTATCAATATCCTGTACCATTTACATTTTAAAATTGAATGTCTATAAGATAGTAAAGCATATCTCTACAAAACCTTAATAAAACTGGTACTATACAGGGAGCCATTCAAGTGCTATTTCTGTATTGTGGTCAGTTTTAGGTGATGGATCACTTATCATACTTGAAAAAGTGGTCACTAATAACTTCTTTTCATGTCCATTCTCTAGACTAGTGATGGCGAACCTCTTAGAGTCTTAGAGCTTTTAGTGATAACAAACAGCCTGGCACACATGCCATAGGTTTGCTATCATTGCCTAGACTAATTTCAAGGAATATGAAAATGTAAATTTCTTGAACCCAAATTGCATTTGAAATTAATTGGTGTTGAAAATAGGGTTAGTATACATGTGCATCTTTATAATTTTATTTTTATTTTTCTGGACACAAGTGAATATATCTATCATAAAAAGTAAAAGCTGAGAGGAACATAGATTATACAATAGTAAAATTTCCCCTCCTTAGTTTATTCTTTCATCTTTACCTTGGGCATCACTGGATCGGGATGTTCCTTAGGCGTAGTAGTGCCTCTTAAGACTACTATTCAATTCCTTGAATAATTATCCTGTCAAAATTCTGATTAGATGATTATTTGCTCTTCTAAAATGAAGCTTTGTTTAGGATAAGTGCTTGTGGAAATTGTCCAAACACTGGCTAATAAAATGGATTAGGAAAATCAATTGAAAAAATGTATATATTGAAATGAAAACCTTTGGCTATTTTAGTGTGTTTTCAAAAAGAAAATAAAAAGTGGTATGATTCCAAATAGAGAGCAGAAGCAATAGAGTTTCCTTTATTTTTGGCCATGATCTGTAGGACAAATAATGTTTGAAATAATATTTGGAACTAGGAAACTTTTAAATGTTTAATTTTTCCAAAACACTACATATGTACTGATTTTCATATATGTGTGTATGAGTATGGGTATCTCTGTGTGTGTATGTATCTGTATATATATATATGTATATAGGTAGACAGATGGTATTATGTATATATTAATACATAAAAAAGCGAACATAAGGCAGAAACCCACTTTATTTAATTGTTAAAATATATCACTTCTCGGCCTTTTGACTAAGATCAAGTGTAGTATCTGTTAACTGTTACAATAATTTATAAGCTTCTAGTGTTTCAGATTATATTAATAAATTAGTTATTTTCATAACGTTAGGATTTTATCACTTTACCATACAAAGATTCTAGGGTTTGAAATCCCTAAAAATGAGTGCCTCTGCTATTGTCTTTTCTCCGTAGTTTACAGACGTGGTTTAATATGACAGGATTGTTCTCTAATAGAGTATAGAGAGCGGCCACGATTTATTGAGCTTTGCAAGGTGAAAGAGAAAATTGGCATCAGCAAGCATAAATTCCCAAGCAGTAAATTCCCACAAAGTAGTACAGCATCAAAATGTTCAGCCACATTTATATTCCGTTCACTCTGAAGTGAAATTTTTTAGAGTATTAATGTCAACATTTACAAATTGAGTTACCTCCTCCTATGAAGTGATCATTTCTGATTAATTTTATTCTCATAAGTTTTTTTTCTGGGATACTTGTTTCCTTTTTTCTCGTTAATAGAAGAATAAAATCTTATAGTTTAAAATTCTTATTGACCCTGTGCTTTTTTACAGTGAGTCTTTATGGGTGTTAGTGAAATTTTAAAATGTTGTAAAAAATAAAGTAAGAAATATTGGTATACAATATACTTTGAGATTCTTTTTTATTGGACCTTTCCACTTTCTAATTGGGTTCCTAGTTAGGGCTGTGAAATTGTTTTATGGCCTGAAAAGTGACCTACTTGTATTACAGAGGTTTTGTTCCTATGCATCACATAGGAAGGAGCAGCATTGTTAATATGTTTTGTTTCTATTTTTGCTCTATTGGGAAGTGATTTCTTTTTAAATATTGTTGGTATAACAGGTTCTTTGCTTTGCCAACCAGATTAAGGTCCCTCCAGCAAACACCATATTATTTTTTTCCTCAAAAGAAGCATAGAACAGTTGAACTTCTGTTGAACAGGTGAAGCTGTTCAAGATGAGAACGTTCCCACAAGCATAATTTTATTTTCTTGATTACTGCCCTTAGATGTTGCCTTTTCATTTTTTTTTTTTTTTTTTTTTTTGGTACTGGGGATCGGACTCGGGTCCTTGCGCTTGTGAGGCAGGTGGCAGAACCACTGAGCTAAATCCCCGGCCCAATGTTGCCTTTTCTTTTGTGTGATGACTGAAGTCTCTTAGTTGTATGCCCTAATAAGTAGAACAGATAGTAAACTTTCGTAAAACAAATTTGACCAGATTTCTTAATAAACTGATAGAATGCCATCATATTGCCTGGCTGACTATTAAGTTCACCACCCACATGTTGTAGTGAGTCTCAGGCCGATTAGAGTTTGAGTGTCTGCCTGGTTCTGCATCCCAGCTGTGCCACAGACTTCTGCTTTTTTCACTTACAAAAGGCAATCGTATGTATGCACTGGTCATTGTGAAGATTGAGTCAATCCATGTAAGTCCTTTAAAACACCTCCTGGCACATAGCAGGTACTCAGTGCATGTTATTGATGGTTATTTGTGGTTGTAGATAGGTGTTATTTGAATTAACCTGTACTTGCATATTTTTTCCTCATAGTATTTCTCACTAGCTGACATTATATATTTATTTGTTTATTGCCTGTTTTTCCATCTAGAAAGTAAGCTCCACGAGGGAGAATAGCTGTCTTTTAGTGGCTGTGATCTTAAAAACATTCCTGGCAAAAAGCAGGCACTTGTTGAGGACTTGACTAAATGAATGAGGAGGGGAAAGAAGGAGTGAATGAAAGGGACCTAGCATGTCCGCCCCAGCTGCACGTTATATGGGTGTGCATCTTAATTCATCCCTCTTAGCTTTTTTAAAAATTTTAACCTCGTGTCTTTGTGCATAGCAGCAGATCTGAGCAAGCACTGGTGAATAAGCAAATAACTGATTATAATTGACATTGTTTTAGTTGTTTCATTTCCATATCTATTCCTGTGATACAAACATTCCAGCGCGGTGCCATAATTGTTCTTACATAAAAATAAAAAGTATAAATAATTACAGAGACTACAAAGTCAACAAACTTTTTTGGCTCTTAAAACCTTGGTTATAATGAAGGCAAAGATTTGGATTCTTAATTTTTTTACAATTATGTATCATTTTTACTTTTCCCAAAAGTTCATTTAACATTCTTGTGTTTTAGAGGTGAGTAGATTTGACACAGTGATGTTTATTTGAGTTGTATTTTATATGTGGTCAGGGCAATGAATTCATTCTCTGTTTATATCAGAGAACATTCCAGCAATTGTAAAGCCACATGCATGCATGTGCGCACTCTCGAACCACATCCAGTGGCAAGTTATTATGGGGACTGACAGACTGTCATCCTTTTGATGGCTTGAGCTGTATATCTCCTGAACAGCAATGGGGCTCTTATGCAGAAAGTATCATATGTTCCCAGCCAATTTACAGGGAAACAGCAATAACATTTTATCATGGTTGAGAGCCCAGTAGCTGCTTCCTATTAAACTTGCCCTTTCAGATACCTGTCTTGGATTAATTTGTTGATTTCAAATGGAAACTCAGTCTTCTCCAGTGAAGCATGACGTTCTAGGATAGACTCTCTGAATGACAATTACTGTGTATTCTAGCTGGTTTCAGACCATTACAAGCCTTGGGCACAGTGGAAGACAGAGGACTTCAGTAACTGATTTTAATATCATGTCTAATTCTAACTGTCAGTTATGTATGTGCTAGGGAAAGAATCCTCAGAAAGATGAAATGCAAAACACTTCTCACTTGCTCTTTTTAATGATACACTTTGCTGCAGGGTGGGGGCGGGGGGAGGAAAATCTAAGAGGAAGTAGCCATCTCCTGAAGGGAATCTGCACCGCCAGGAAGTGTAAGGTATGAAAAGTGAGTAGGAACTGCCACCTGATTGTGTGTGTGTGTGTGTGTGTGTGTGTGTGTGTGCGTGTTTGTCCCACAGGATGCTTCTAAATAGTAGTTTGTTCACCAAAACAGGTTTCCATAAATCAGTCCAGGATTTTTCTTTGAATGTTCAAGAAAAAATAAGCTTTATTCACCATTTTGGTGTTATGGACTGAATTTCCTTAGCAGTAAAGATTCTTGTGAGGTACTACTGAGCATAATTTGGTAAAGAAAGATGTGATGAATCATCTTAAAAGAAAATTGAAATTTGGAAGCCCCTAAAATACATTTCAAATAGACAAGGAAAGCAGTGCTTTGGGGTCTTTAAAATATTGTGTCTTTGTGAATCATATTGGACATACACGTTCTTGAACATTTGTGCTTAGCAAATATCTTTGCAGTTACAGCAGATTAACTGTTAATTTTTGATTTTATTTTTTACAGTTATTTCTGAAGTACATTGGCTTTATTCCTAAGTCATGTACTGCAATATACTATATAGCCCAATTTTATGTAAAAAGAGATGGAAAACTATACATGCAACAAACTTGTATTTTTATGAAAGAATGAATAAAACTGGTTTCTCTCTGGTGATCTATAACTGTATGATAGATGATTTAGATGAAGTCTTCTATATCCGTTATAATTCTTGGTTAAAAAAAAAACTATCATTAGGGGCCGGGGATTTAGCTCAGTGGTTTTGCCGCCTGCTGTGCAAGTGCAAGGACCTGAGTTTGATCCCCAGTACCAAACAAAACAAAACAGAACAAAACTATCATTGTAACATGGACCACTATATGAATTCAGATATAAGATGTATAGACGTAGAGCATTCCATGAACCACTGGCCAACTCTTGAAAGCATGATTACATGGCAGTTGTATTATGTGGTATCTGCAGACACACCCTGTTAGCTCCAGTCCCTGCTCTAGCTTCAGAAAAATGTTTTACCAGTCTTGACACTCAGATTTTGAAATGAACATATCTTTCAAACCCACAAAGTAAACAAGTATTTAAATATGCCAAATGCAGTTTAACATTTACATAAGTGTCTCTTTTGAGTCTTTTTTTCCTCCCTTATAGAAGTTGTTTTAAGAAAATACAGAAAGCTTTTATGATGATTGTTTTTAATGGCACTTTTCATGAAAGAAACCAATATATTGCTGGGTGTAAAGTTTTATTTGAAACTTGGTTTGGTGATACTTAACAAAACTATGCTTCCTAAACTGTCAGAATCAAAGTAATAGAGTATTTTGGTGCTGTTTTCTAGGGTCCTCATTGAACGGCTGTTTATGCCATCAGCCCAGTGATAGAACAAATGATGTTTCCGCTTGGGCAAGCTTTGTTTTATCAGGATCAGTAACCTTATCAGCAGTTGACCCAGAACTATAATGCACATTTCTGAATAGATGGCATATGTCACAGCTCTGGGCAGACTTGCTTCATAAGCAAGATTGTCTAATGAAGATTTAATAAATAAAGCAACGTTTGCAGCAAGAAATGTCTTTTTTTTGTAATGATAACTTCTCTTAAGCACATTTTACTACTCATGGGTCAACTCTTGCATTTATTCTCATAAAAGCCAAAGGAATAAACATACATATAAATGCATACACATGGAATCCCATAATGTTATCTATCAATATTTCCTTCTGAAATACATCATTCGTGTGTAAAGAATGTAGAATTCAGATTATCATGTTGGTTTAAAGTTCATAAGTGGCACATGAAAGTGGTAATGTCGAAAAGATTAGAAAACCCATGTGACAGCCCAACTAGCACTTTTATACAGTTATATATTATTTCTTCTTAGTAATAGAATAGTGCAGGTTTGTTTTTCTAAATGCACAATGTACTGCCTCAAAAGTGAACTTCTTTAATTAGTAGCTTTTAATACCCTATAATTTAAAATTGGATTCTTCGCTCATATTAACCTGCTCAGACTTTAGAAGACATAGATGGAATAAATGGAGAAAGAAGATAGAACATCCACCTATGTAAATAAGTCATGCATGACTTGTACACTTTGACATTCAACACTTCTTTTTGTTAACCTTTGACAGGTTAGGGCTTGACCCCAAACTATTGACTAAAATCCTAAATATGAGTTCAGGACGCTGTTGGTCAAGTGACACTTATAATCCTGTACCAGGGGTGATGGATGGCGTTCCGTCAGCTAATAACTATCAGGGAGGATTTGGAACAACACTCATGGCTAAGGTATGTAACTGCAGGGACTAACCGAGAGAGGGGAAAAACAAGGCTTATTGCTGTAATTTCTATTATCCTCCTCTTTCTTCTCGTCTTCCTCTTCTTTCTCCAATTCCTCTTCTTCCCTCCCTCTCCCCCTCGTGTTTTCCTTCTCCAAAGCATATGTCTGACCTCGAAGGCAAAATTTTTAGAATAGTGTCTTACTTTCTCATTAGAATTGAGTGAAACCTTAGTTTAGATAAAGATCCTTATCTTGTTCATTTTGTCCCTGGGCTTTGAGATGAGAAAAATGAGTCAGGATTTTTCTTCTGGACTTTTGATTTGTTTATAATATGAGACAGAAAATTTTGCTCTTCATCATAAATTTATATAATTTACCAACTCTTGAGAGTGGCAGTAGTAAGAATTTTCTGATTGTTAATGAATGCCTTGGCATTGCTCATACACAAAAGGAAGAGGGTCTTTCTCATGATTTATAAATACATCTTTGTGCTTTAAGAGAATATGTGGTTTTATGTATAAATTAGTTAAGTCATTTGAAAAGCAAGTTGGCCACCTTGCATTTGTGATTTTCACTGTGGAAGATACTGTTCAGACTAGTAGGTTTTCAGATTTCTGCTTTGAGCTCATTCCCCACCAGTTGGCACCCCCCACCCATTACAAAAGCAACAGTACATAAACCTGGATACCATACTTGGTGTACTCTCCCTCATTCCCCATGACATTTGAGCATTCTACTACTCGAATACACCTTGAATTCATCTAGTTCCCTTTGTTCTTCACTGATACTTTGGCTGTGCCTCATTAAAATAGACCACAGGAGTCTACTCCTGGTCTCCTTGCCTTTTGCCCTAATCTTCTGCAATTCATTTTCCACACCACACAAGAGTGGGCTTTCCAAAATGTAAAAACTTGACTATGTTACTTCTTCTATAAAGTTCTTTTAATAGTTTCTAGTTACTTGTAGATTAAAATCCAACTCTGCAACTTGACTTTTAAGGCCTGGACATCACCTGCCTCAGTAGACTTATTTTTGCTTCCCTGATCCCCTTCATTTGCTTCAGCCATGCTGAACCTCTCTTATTTGAAAACTTTTTAATTTGCTGTTCCCTCTGCCAGGATAATTCTTCCTTGCCACCACCTCCCCTCCATTCTCATGCCTTTACCCACTAATATCTGCCTGTACCTTTCAGATCTGTGGGCAGGCATCTCTTCCTCTAGAAGGTATAAGGCTCTCTATACTCTACCTCCCTAGCTCCTAGCACCTCCTTTCTCCTATCAGATTATACACATTGCTTAATTGTCCTTCCTCAATAGGCTGAGCTTGGGTGGACTGTGGCTGTGTTGTTCTTCATTGTATTCCAACTTCTGACACATTGTCAACACACCTTGAATATGTATTGCATGAAGTAATATTTGAAACTATGTTTCCTATTTTGCAGTTTTATTTCCTCTTCTGTTAGAAAATAGTTTTATTTTATAGCAATCTTACAGACTTCTACAGCTTTGGGAAAAAAGTTAATTCCCCTGTATAATCACCTGTAATAGTAACTTCTATCCAAAAATAAAACTGAACAAAATAGGTTTTGTGACAGGTGGGGGAGTGGAGGAGACACCAGAAATCAAGGTGTCTGTTTGGAGCTGTTTTTTTAGCTGTATAAAAGCACTTATGAAAATATATAAGGGCTGGGGGCGTGGCTGAGTGGTAGAGCACTTCCTTAGCTTGTGCAGACCCCTAGGTTTGATGCTAGTACCACACATACAAAAATAGAGAGAAACAAGTGCTTATGAGGATCTTGTTTTCAGACTCTTATTTTCCTTCTTTGAAACCAAAGCATTAGGAAACATAGTTCCAAAGTGAGCCTTTACCACCAGTCTCAACGTATTTCTTCTTGCTCATTTGTTTTAGGATCTGGGATTGGCACAAGATTCTGCCACCAGCACAAAGAGCCCAATCTTTCTGGGCAGCGTGGCCCATCAGATCTACAGGATGATGTGTGCAAAGGGCTACTCAAAGAAAGACTTCTCAGCTGTGTTCCAGTTTCTAAGAGAGGAGGAGAACTTCTGAGTGTGCCCTTTGGCATGGATGCTGTTGGAACAGACTCTCCCCTGGAGCTCCCTTCTAGCTCACTCCACAAGTAAATAGGTTTAATCAAGGTCATCTCTCTGCTTTTGATTGTCTATGCTACAGAAATCCCTAGGATTTCTCAACCGTATTCTTTTTGTCTGTTTAGCAAACATCTGAAAGAAAATTTTTTTCTGCAAGCCATTAAGGGATTTTGCTAAACTAAATTGACCTTTTTAAGAAGTGTGATACCAGAGTATCTTCAAATATATTATTCCATACTTCAATCAGGATATTATTTACTCTACTTTACAAATAAAACCAAGTATTTTGTCAACAAGATGAAATCCATCTTAAAAGAAGCCAGTGTGAGGAGAATTAGAGAAAGGAAGTATAGTAAATTATTACCTACATCCCTTGGGAAATTGGTGCTGTTAACCAAGTGGTGGTATTCTTGGATTTCTGAGGTTACTGATTTGTTTTTCAGGAAATTGATAAAACAATTCCTGCATATTTTATAATTTGAACTCTGTTACAGTATCTTAGTGTATCCCTCTTATTATAACTCCCAGTATTCAACAGACTTGTTTCTATATTTCTTGCTTCCTTGTACATTCTTACTACATATTTTTTGACTTCAAAAGAATGACATCTTAAGACTGTTTCACAGCCAATGAAGTTATTTGCTTTAGATAATTATTATATTCTAAATATAACCATATTATTTTGAATTAAAATAAATTTCTATGCTGATATTTTCTTAAGAGTTTTTGTTTCTTCTCAAACAAACTGATGGGGAAAAGAAGGGAAAAGGGAGGGGAGGTCGAAGGGAATAGAGGTAGGAGTTGGCCAGTGGCAAACCGCATCCTGCTGCTCTGCCTGATCTTCAAAGGGCTGTTTGAATGTGTTCAGGTCATAGGTGCTATAGGAATTCCACCTACATTAAGGAAACACGCTCCAATATGAAGAACATGCCCCAAGAAACATCTGAATAATAGACCTGGACACAAAATTGGCAGAAGTACTACTACTTCCATCATTTTCTTGGTGATAAAAAATTCCAGGCACTGTTAAAAGTGCTAGGGTTACAGTGATAAACAAGACAAAATCCCTGCCCTTGTAGAGCAGGGATTCTGGCCTTCTCGTGTCTTAAGTCAGGTATGTATGTGTGGGATATCAAGAAATATCATAATAAGTAAAAACTAAAGCAAGATAAAGGGCATGGATAGAGATTGGCAAGGGTATTTATTAGGGTGGTAAGAGAAGTTCTCTCTGATAAGGTGGCAGAGATGAGCAGAGAGAAAGGAGCCAAGGAATGAGTGACGCAGATGTCTGAGGAAAAAGCATTCCAGGAATTAGGGAACAAAGTACAAAGGCCCTGAGGTAGAATGATGCTGGATATGAAGAATAAAAGGAAGCTGAGTAAAAGGGCACAGGATGACGGGAACCTGATCAGGTAAGGCTGTAGATATTTTAGGCCCTTGGCTTTTATTTTAAGTGAAATGAGCAGTGAGTCAGTTAGCTTTTGCTAGGTAACAAACCATCCCAGTATTTAGTGGGTTAAAACAACAAACAAATTTACTTTTCAAGATTCTCTAGGATGGTTGTCTTGTTCTTCTGGATGGACCAATTCATCTGGACCTAGAGAGTCTCCCTCAGCCAGGACACCTGGAATGGTTGTGGTGTCTCCATGAGGTCACTCCTCCTCCTGGAGGCTACCTAAGTGTTTATGATGGCACAGTGTTCCCTGCAGGAACAGAGGACAAGCCACGATGAACAAGTTCTTTTCGACTCTGCTGGATTCATATTTGTATTATCTTGTTAGCCAAAGGAAGTCACAGCCAAGCCCAGTGTCAGGGTAGGAGGGGATTTCATGAGAGTAGACACAATCAGGGGCACTCTGGTGCTGTTTTGCAAACAACCTGTCACAATCTGTGAAGGGTTTTGTTCAGAGGAATGATGTGATCTGAGCTACTTTTTTAAAAAGGGTCATGCTGGATACTGCATAGAGAATAGAGTGTAGGGGCACAGCAGGGAAGTACGGGGGCCGGTTAGGAGACTTGTACTAATCCAGATGAGAGGGACTGGTGGGGACCACAGTGTTACAGTGATGGCAGAGAGCAGAAGTGGTCAAGTTCTGACTAAAAGATGGAGCCACTAGCTAATGAATGGAGTCACAGGGAAAGGGAGGAGTCAAGGATGACTCTGAGTTTTGAGCTTGAGAAAGTACAAGAAAGGAGTTGCCATTTACTGTGGGAGGATTATATGAGGTTTAAGAGCAAAGAACCCAGACGTTGAAATGCTTAATGCACATCTTAAGTAAAGAAGAATTAAGGATCCCAGGACCAAGCCCTGTGTTAACTCAATGGTTGGGAAAATGAGGCAGAACCACAAATGAAATTGAGGAGTGACCAGTAAAAGGGTAGGAACAGTGTCCTGGGAGCCATAATTGTGATGATGAGCGTGTGGAGGTGTTGGAGCCCTCAGACATTACTGTTGAGCATGCAAAATGGTGCTGCCACTTTGAAAATGGTTTGGAGTTCCTCAGACCATTAAACATAGAATTAGCACATGATCCAGCAATTCTATTCCTAGCTGTGTGCCACACAGAAATGAAAATATGCATGCAACAACTTACATATGAATGTTCATGTCAGTATTATTCATAGTAACTAAGACGTAGAAATGATTCCATATGTCCCTCAACTGATGATTAGAAAAACTGTGGTCCATCCATAGAGTGGAAGATTATTTGGCCATAAAAAGGAACAAAGTACTGATACATGCTACAACATGGATGAACTTCAAAAACATGCCATCTGACAGAAGGTAAAAACAAAAGGCCACATAGTCTACTTACATGAAGTGTTAACAAAGAAAAATCCATAGGAATCTAATAAATTAGTGGCTGGGGAGAAAATGGGAAGTGACTGCTAATGGATATGGAGTTTATTTTGGAGGTGATTAAAATGTATTGATGGTTGCATAACTTTGAATGTATTTAAGAATCATATATGGATACAAAGGGGAAAATCGTGAGTAAAGGTCTATCTTTCTTGATAAGTGGTTCTCAACTGGGGCTGTCCCTCTGCCCAGAAGGGATATGTGGAAATATCTGGAGACATTTTTGGTTGTCACACTCTATTGGAATTTAGTGGACAGAGGCCAAGGAAGCTGTTAACCATCGTGCAATACAAGGCAACACCCACAATAAGAATTATCCTCCCCAAAATGTTGATAATGCAGAATTCAAGAAATCCTTCTCGAGGGTTCTACAGCATCCTGAAACCTGCATGTTAAAACCTCAAAGTCTCTGTCCTCACCAACAGACGTGCTTCTCCTCCTGGTCCCAGATTCCTAGGAATGTCCTCTGGTTTCCTTCAGCCCCTCTCTATAGCTAATTCTAAATTTCTGGTGCCTACTGAGGTGCCTTACCTTCCTGTCTATGGTACTTTAGTATCTTTATAATTACTCTTATTTTTTTAACAGCCTTATTGAGGTATAATTTACGTAAAATTTTCTCCTTTTACACAATGTGATGGCTTTTAGTGTAGGGAACAGGGAAAGGGGATGTTTCCAGAACCCCACAGTGAGTCCTGGTCTCCTGTGAGCCACAACAGCACGAAGCAAATTAATGAATAAAGACAGGAAACAAAATTTAGAGAAAAAGCTGAGCTTTGGGCCTGATCGATGCTGCTCTGGACAGCAAAGATGAAGGCACCACGAGCTTGCCACACTTTCATTCAGTTCATTGGGAGTAACAGATGACTCAGAGGGCTGCAATAATCCTAGGACAATGAGGAACTTATGCTGATGAAGATCTTAGGTTCATGAGGAACTTATGTTGATTAGTAATTTGTACCTCCCCAGGTGAAACTTTCTCTTACTACTGGGTTCTCAAGGAACCAGGATGTCTTCAGCTGATGTAATCCTGCCCTGGAGTGTCACAGCATCATGGGACCATTGAAGTTTTAGCTGTGACCAGAGGCAAAAATGGAGCTATGTCTCAACATGCCATAGCCTGCCTGTAGGAAGGAAAACTAGGCCTAATCATAATTTAATTGTGAAATTATTTCCTCCCAAAATTATGTAGAATTGCTCCTGACATTTTAGCAAGTTTAAAGTTATACAACCACCCCTACAGTCCTGTTTTAGAAGATTGCCATGGTCCCCTTAAAATCCCTTGGGTCCATTTGCAGTCACTTCCTATTCTCCCCCTTTGCCTTCCAGCCCTGGGTAACCATTTATCTTTTGGTCTCTAGATTCACAGCTGCCTCTTGGTCACCAATCTGGTTCTTACCTAATTCATCCTTCACACTTCTTGGGAACAGGCATTTCTGAGACTAAAATCTAATTCAGTCCTTCCTCTGTTTAAAATCCTTGAGTCTAGAATGCAGTCTGAACTCCTCTAAGCATAGTGTTTAAATCCCTTTGTGCTCTGGCTTCTATTTTACTCCACTAGCACAGTTCCCTACAGTACTCTACTTGCCATTTCCCAAACCTGCCATGCTTCTCGCACCCAATTTCCTTTACACATGCCATTTCCTTCACCTGAAATGCCTTTCACCTCCCCTCCTGGCTGACTGGCTCAGGCTTCAGACTGAGTCATTTCCCCTCTGCTTGCATGGCTCCTTGTTGAGCTCTCTCTCACTGGAGGACTTACCCTGTTACATTTGCTGCTTTGCTCATCTGTCTTCCATACCAGGGTCTGAACGCTTTGAGGGGACAGAATGTGTTGCATCAGCTTTGAGTACCTGTGTTGATTCAGCACCTGTTATTGTATAAGAGCTCAATAAATAGTAAATAGAACATATGAATGAATAAAAGCTACAGCATTACATTCATGTTGTTCTCTCTACATAAACTTTCTTAAAGATTCTTGTGTACCGAACCAAGTTTATTTTACTTAAGGTTATAAATGCAAATTGTTTTAGCTACCCCAAAAGTCTTGCAGAATGTGGATCTTTTCCACAATTTTTAGTCAAAAATTCAGTTTACGCTGTTAGAACTGACTGGAAAAATTCTGGAGGAGGAAAGTATGCACTTTTGGTAGTAAGCTTAGTCTAACCCTTTATATACTTTAATCATCAATGTGCATATAACTGAAGCCTGAACCTATTGCTTTCAGGGAGCATGGCAGTTCCAATTGCAGTCTTTTAAAACACACCATGTAGATCTGGAGACAAGAGATGACTTTCACAATAGCACAGGCTTGTCTCATTCAAGGGAGTCTGTAAATAGGTAAGTGTTTCAGAGACTCTGCTGTCCTATTGATCAGACTCTGTTACAATCTGAGTCAGCCACAGCAGAGTCCCTGTTTAAGTGAACACCAAATGGACTGGGTCTCTCCTTGGCTATTCTTTTCATTGCCCAGATTTGATCTTGACTTGTTTTCTAAGTAGTCAGAAATGTGTATGAGCTGCCCACATTGTATGGGAGAGAAAGGTGCATCTGAGCAGAGAATGAGGCAACTTTATCCTTGTGCATAAATTCTTCCCAGGCTACTGTCAGCAAGCTGCCGCTGCTCAGGAAAACAGGCCGAGTTACTACCAGCCTCAGCTGCAGTAACTGTGCCCCTGAGCATTCTCAAATGGCCAGCCAATAGGGAGTCATCTGCCCGAGTGGGGTTTTTAGCCATCTTTCAGTTCAACTGAAGAGGGAGCTTAAGGACATCATAGGGATTTGTAAAGTTCATGCAAGTTGTCAGATCCATAAACTAGCATGTCCGTCGTACTGTGCACATGTGGAATTGTCT